ACAGGGCAAGAGCTGCGTGTGCAGTCAGAGAGAGAGTGTGTCCAAAGACAACAGCCCCGTTGGGTACAGGCACAGGGCAGACTGGCTCCTCCCTGGCTGAATACAGCCAGAGCTGCAGCAGTGGAGGGGAAGAGGAGTGGGAGGCCTCCGCAGAGCTGAATCGCTCCATTATATTGGATCAAGAGAAGCATCTCTGTCTGAGAGCGCTGGGTACAAGCGGTGCTATTTCGTACTCCATTTCCTACACCACTGGCACCTAGAGAAACCCAACACCCCCTCACTCACACGGTTCCTCCCGCCCCTACGGGATTTCTTTGCAAAAAGAGGACCCATCAAAAAACAGCACCAGGAGCGAGTGTCCAAGTTAAATCCAGGCCAAGCGGGAAAAGCAAATCCTGCCGTGATCTCCCCTCCAGACGGCAAATATTGAGCCTCCCAAGAGCTGCCCATGGGCTGAGGGACCTCCCCGGCACTCACCGTGCCCTCCAGGAAACGCAGCAGCGAGAGGCCCCAGACGGGCTGCTACGCTCGCGCTTCCAGCAGCTGTCACCTAACGAGCCCGAGTTCGTTAAACCGCTGGCCTGGGTGTTACTGCCACGGCTACAGCATAACCCGGCACAACCCCAGCAGTTCATGGGTGCCTGCTGTCTCCATCCTGCTGCTCAGCCCTGGCCATTCCCAGTGAGAGGCTTTCCAGGAGCGTGGATACCGCACTGCTGGAGTGGGGACCAGCACCGCGCCAGCACAGACACAATCAGGGTCCTCTGTGGCAAAAACACAGGCCACCAACCCACGGATGCTCCAGCAGGAAAGCTGAGCCCTCAGCACCCTGGATGCTGCTCCAAGGAGGGGTGAGAGGGAAATTAAGGATGAGACCAGTGCCTTAAATAAGTGACTTGCACTACAAAGTGGGTGCCTGGGCTATTTCAGAGCCTGCCTCCTTTCTCACACAATGTACACCCTCAAACACGGTGGGTAGCACAAGCAACAGCTGATGCTACAGAGGACGAGCTGCCCCCTCACTTACTTCAGTGTGAAGGTCTGTGGGTGGAAAAGCATGGAGCCACTCTTAGATGTTTAAGGAGCAATCTAAGCCCTGGCAGTTTTGCAAACCTCCTCTCCCCTTCCCCCCATGTCCTCAAAGAGCACAGCTCGCTGTTTTTGAAAGTTACTGCTCCGGATGTGGGAAGGGAGAGCCCGAGGCAGGTTGTTTTTCAGGCTCAGTCTGCCTCCCCACACTGTCCCCCCCAGGTGCCAGCACTGCTGCAGCCCCACTGGAGCAGGAGCTGCCTGCCAGGATGGGGACACGTTGGCTGCATGGCCCTGGGGATACCTGAGACCCCTCTCAATTCAAGCTGATGTACAAGAGGGCTGGGGATGGTGCCAGTGGGAGCCTGGCATCACCCTCTCCCCCAGTTCTGCCCGAGGGCACAGCCTGGCTGCCCGCTCCCCCCCAGGCAGGGACACACTGCTCCCCCTTGCCTTGGTTTTGTTTTTAATGCACAGGTTCCAAAGGGAGAGGTAACAGCATTGCTGTAAGGGAAGGGAATGCAGGAACAGGAGAGTCCTCGAAGGCAGAAGCAAATTCCTCCCCTTCCTCTGTTCATTGTCCATTTGTGCTGCTAGGAGGGGACCTCCCCCCTCTGCAGACAAGATGCTCTGGCAGCACTGCAGAAAGGCAGCCCTCGACCCGCAGGGCTCCTGCTGTTTGCTTTTCAGGGCGTGAGAAGGAAGGGTGGATGCAGCCAGCCCTCACCGGAAGGAACAGGCATGTACTCACCCCAGGGGGTTCTGCAGGTTGTCACACACATGGCAGGACCATCCCATCCGCCATCGTGGTATCTGTCCCCTGCTGCAGCCACCTTTGCTCGTGGTGCTCACTGCTTGTTGCCTGTGGCTGTCTGGCACTGGCCAGGCAACGAGTCACGTGCTGGCAGCCAGGCTGGCCCCACACTCCTTCAGGAATCCTTGCTCGGGAATGCTTCCAACCCCCCTAACTCACCCGCACGCTGGGCTCCTGCCATCACCCATCAGCAAGCCTGGCACAACTCAATGTCCATGTCCCAAGAGCCGGGAGCGCAAGCCTGCCTCAGTTTCCCCACCCAGCCAGGTGTCAGACCTGCAAGGGGGCACCCCTGGGAGCACCCATGAGCTGTGGGTGCATCTCCCAAGAGTCACATGTGCAGAGCAGGCACCAAGAGACGGTCCATCTGTCTGAAGCTCCTTCACGCTCCGTTCAGGAAAGGCTGGAGCAGCTGAGAGCTATTCCTGGGGAGCCTAAAAACACCACGCCTGAGTCAGCACCAAGGCCCTGCCCTGCCGCTCACGTCCGTGAGGCCACTGCACGACTGCCCTAGCAGTCCCTGTCACTGCCTCGCCGCAGGGCTGTCCGTGCCAGGATGCCGTGCTGCCCGCAGCCCCCTCGGAGCAGGCAGGCAGGCAGGCAGAGACAGGCACGTGCGGAGGCAGAGTCACGGAGAGGCAGCCCAGCTTCCCCACTGCTCTGCCAGCCCGGACATGCATCAATGTCACGGCGAGGACTGCGACAGCGGACAGTTATCTCGCTTCCCCGCTCCGCAGGCTGGAGCAATGCCAGCCCCCAGGGCTTTTGTTCCCACATCCGCACTGGCCAGCGCAGCAATCGCACAGGACTGTTTCAAAGCCGTCTCTGGAGAAGGATTCGGGTCCATAGACACCATCGACACTGCCCTCTCCCACCACGTCCCAGCGCTCGCTCCCCTGCCTCCTCAGGGCATGGGAAGAAGGAATGGGACAAACATGGCAAGTCCAGGACAGTAACTGTTGAGCTTGTACTGGTCGCACAGAGAGCAAATGCCCCACGAGCACTGCCCTGGGCCGCATCCCATGCACTGGGACTGCCTGCCCTCCCTGTATCTGCTTCCCTGCAGCTGGGAGCCAGAGGCTGAGAGCTCCCAGCAGTTGCATCCACTCTGGCACAAAAAGAGCACAGGTCAGCGACTGCAAGTACCTGGCATGCTGCTCCGGACTGCTGGCTGATAGCTGGGACCAGGCTTTTCCCCAGAACTGCGCTGTAGCCTTGCAAGACGGGACAGGAACGACACTACAACACCCCAGCTTGCGAGCACAGGACTCCACCGTTCTAAAGGATTTTCCTCGCAATTCATTACCCCTCTGACAAGTCATGCACTACCATTTCTTGCCTCGCCTGCCTGGAACTGCGGTAGCTCTGGTAGACTCCAGCTGGCCCGTTTCGTCCCGACTGCACCCCAGGCACGCAGCTGGGCAGCTGCCAGCTCCACGGTCGGCTCCAGCACAGCGTGGGCAGCCCTGCCCTGCCCCCCCAGCGCCGGGCACCCGCTCAAGTCTCAGGCTGGCAGAGTCTGCAATACCGTCAGGTGACAGATAGCAGCACTGCACTGGGCGATACAGAAGAGTCTGGGTCCCAGAGAATTGAGAGCCAAAAGTCTAGGGCTTTCCATGAACAGTTTAAGAGCTGGCAATACCAAATTTTGCCCATCTTTGGAATTCAGGCCTTCAAAGAGGACACTTGAGAGCCATGGAAGCATCTAGCCATCAATGCATCTTCCTTCCATCCTTCCCAGTCCACACTAGTCCTAGTTGTCAAGGGGATGGCTCCCAAGGACAACCTCACAAGAGCCAACTACCGAAGCAGCTATCAAAATCTCCTAGGGGCTGCAAAAACCAGCAAAAAACACACCCACCTTTTCCCACTCCTACCTCCTGGCTGGCTTTTGCCACTGCCCAGCTTTACCAGGACAAAACCAACCACAATATCACAGCCCTCCGTTGCATCAGTAAATATTAGGATCAAAAGTTGGAAGGTGTTTTTTTCACTGCAGTTGCAGGTTTAAACCTTTCCAGGAATCCAAAAACATTCGCAGCCTCCAGATCCCAACTCATCTAAGCTCAATAGCCTGCAGCACCTTATAAAGCCTCTGGAATTTTGCTACCCTGACGTTCACAGCTGGGCGCTCTGGCTGTGCTCAGCGCCGCATCCAAAAAATCAAGCAGGAACATTTCTCCCTGCCCTCCCAGACAGTTTACCTCCAACTGCAGCCCCTGGGCTATGAGCCAAGCCAAGGGGTGAGCCAGCCAGCTGTCTCCCTTCTCCGGGACCTGAGAGCAAGCAGCACTCTCTCCAGTTGCTGTGAGGATGAGGTCAGTCTCCCCTCGACACTAAAAGCTCTGCTTGAAAAAATGCTGAGCTAGCAGAAACTGCCACTTCAGTTTCACCCATTTCCTGGTATTAGATAAAAAAGCCCCAGGGAGCCGAGCTCCTGCTAGCCTGGACTTTTGCCACGTTACAGTTACTGCACAGCCACTGCCTTCAGCAGGTGAACACCGGCATGTCTTCATTTCAACAGAAGCCAGGGCACAGCATGAATTATTTGTGGTAAGGCTGACCTATTTAGCAGCAGAAAGACAGCATTAATTCGAGCCCAGATTCCCCAGAGGCTGCTGGTGTCACTTTACCCCACAGCATAATAGAACCCCGTCACTATCTCTGGGCATCTCGGCTTGCAGGGGAGCGTGGTGGTAGCTGTCCTAGCCCTGCCATGCTCCCACCATGTCTTCTGGAGGACAAGTGACACCTCCACATCCCTTTCAGCGCAGGCTTCTGCTGGCCTGCAACTGGCTCCTACTGACCAGCTCTGATCAGTGTTTTGTGACTGCCCTAGACACACACAGAGGAAGCGGAGCAGAGGGAACCCACAGGGCCTTGAAACAGCAGAGAAATCGCTGCTGGCAGCTCCATTTCAGGCAGACCAGAGCCAGAGGATATGCAAGCACTGTTTGCAGGGTGGCTGCCAAGTCCTGCAGCTATTCAGGATGCCTCTCTGCACAGCTCCTTCTTAGCTCTTGGCTCCCATCCTCTGTGCACAGGCCAAGGCAGCCCACAAAGGGGTATTTCACATCGAGAAGATGCTGAAGTCTTGGTGATACATTTCTGTAAACCAGCTCAGAATCACAGATCACCACATCTTTGTGGACCATACCTTTGTCTGCCAGAGACAGCGTGCTGTTGAAGTACTGCTCCTCCACCGTCCACGCTGTGTCATTGATCTTGTTAGACACCCCGCAGGATCCAACGCAGCTCACCTTGATGGCTGTAGAGAGAAAGCACACACGTAAGTGCTGGGAGAAGGCAAAGCCTGGGGTTCAGACTTGCGTCAGGTACTGTATGTGGACCTGTGCAGGAGCAGTGCCTCACGAAAAGAGACACAGGGTGGAAAAATGGAGCAAAGGAATCAGGTCATGCTTTCATTTCAGAAGCATGTTTTCTCCTAACTCTCAGCTCCCTGTACCCCAGCGCTATTCCCAGATGTTATCACCTTTGAAGTCCTGGAGCTGGCGCCGTGAAAGCTGGCCTCCTTGCACTGTGAAAGCCCTTAGCAGCAGCGATTTCAGCTCTCTGAGAGGTAACCCTCTCACTAGTTTTCACCCAAATGAAGCAACATCCCCTCCCAATATATGCATCAGCCTCAGCACTCGGGCTGACAGCAGAGACCTTTGGGGCAGCAATGCTCTCCTATGCACTCGGGCGTCCTGTCCAGACCGGGATGAGCGCACAAGGGCTCTGCTCTCCCACCCCACAAGGAGCTGGGCATCCCAACGAGCATCCTGCCATCCCTGGGAGGAGAGACATATTAGGCACAAGCCCGTTAGCCAGCTAACCAAGGCATACAGCCCTGTCTGCAGCAGCAGCAGAGAGCTGGACCCCCCAGTGCAGCCCGTGTTCAGCTTGGCTGCTGCTCTCGTTCACAGCCCACCCCCTCTCACAGGGCAGCCCAAGCCCCTGGGAACCTGCTCCCATCTCCTGGGGTTGGTCCCTACTCCAAAAGGACTGCAGCAGAAGCACTTTGCCCATTAACGTGTGTCCTGCATCAGGACCTCCAATCACGTTGATAAGCAGGTTGCTTCTGAACAGCCAGACACCACTTCAAGCGAGCATCTTCCTCCTCTTGTTAGAGACACAGGGCTCACAGCACAGCCCCACAGCAAGGCCTGGAAGCATCCAAGATGCCATCTGACCCTCCCAAGGCAAGGAGAATAATCTGAGCTATGTTTCTGCCCTACCCTGGGAAAGTCACCCCAGAGCTCACCCTGCAGCTTGGCTTTCAGATGAGTTATGCGGCTTTCAGGAGAGACACCCAGAAGACATTTTCAGTTAGTCCTGGCCAACTCACAGCAGGTTGAAATCAAGCTCTGATGTTGACCACAGAGACAGACAAACACGACAGACTGGCCTTGCTGCACAGCAGCAGTCGATCTGCGGTGCTACTCCCATGCAGGCAGACCCATCGCGGCACAAACCAGGCCTTCAGGGTTGTCCCAGCCTGAACATCTCCTGTCCTGATTCTCACCAGGTTTTGCAACAGCTTTAATGGATCTCCCAGAAATCCCTCACTGGAATCGCCAGGTGAATAGCTGTGCTGGCAGGAAGGTGGCAGAACTGCCAGACAGACTCTCTCCCCATTTCACCCATCTGCTCCCTGTACTCAAGCTGTGTCTCACAGGCAGCATCTCCCTGGGAGGCAGGTGGCCAATTTGTGTTGGCTTAAGAGCTCTTCCCAAGCCTTCTCAGCCATGCTGATCTCGCCACCTCCACCCACCTACCCAAACACTGAGGCTGCAAGTGATGCCGCTCGCTACCACCCAACCAGCTCTCCAGAGCACCTGCCTGGCCAGCGTGACCTCGTCCTCCACGCTGACTCAAGACAGGGTGCAAAGAAACCCAAACCCAGCCCTCTCTGCAGGGGGAACGCATCGTTCTTACCCCAACCCCCTTACCGGTGCTTTGCTACGTGCATTCAGGTGGAATGGGCTCCTCAAGGGCTCTAATCCCAAAACACAGAACCACCTCCCCCATCAGGTCTCCTGCCGTAGCTCCACAGCCTGATCACGGCTTTGAACGCCAGAGCCTGTTGCAGCCGAAGTGCTGTTTTATACTCAAGGGTAAAGGATAAGCAGCGCCAAATGCCAACTCTCATTAACCAAACACGAGTACAGCAGCAAGGCCGACACATCAGATCGCTTGTTTGTGCCCGTGATGTGCATCAGCACTTCCGAGGCAGGGGAAGAACCGGAGAGCGTGGCACACGACGGGAGCTGCCCAGGCCACCGCACACCTGGTCTGAGCTGACGTGGGTCCCCTCCCACAGCAAACCATCACACTGAGCCCCCCTGCACACCCCCCTAGGTGACATCCAAGCCTCTCTTTTGCCAGACAGCAGAGCCAAAATCACGTAGGGCTTTCAGCATCAGAGCAGGAGTGGTTTTAGCAGGATGGCATCCTGTGTACCCACACGCTGGTACCAGCTCTCATGCTCCCACCTCGGACGTACCACCGCACCTCCAGGCTCACAGCGAGCCTGTCCCACTCCAAGTTATCCCAGATAACCTGCATGGCTTAAGCCAAATCAAGCCCAGCTTCAACCACTCCACTCCCACATTTTCACATGGGAGAGGCGAGCGAGAAAAGCTCAACCAAGAACTGGAGAACATTCACATCCTTCAGGAGCACCAGCCCCGGAGCAGGCTCCCCCTCAGCTCCCTTTGCCACGGAAGTTTGTAGATCGTCGCCATCTGTCGCAGCGCCCAGGCGGGATGGCGGGCTGCAATTCCAGCCCGCTTGCTGCATTGCGGCGCTGAGGCACTCCTGCTCCTGGGAGGCAGGTGGGTGGGCGCCTTCAGGCACAGACACGTTACGGCCCATCTCCCTTCCCACGGCAGGCAGACTCAGCAACCAAAGGCAGTGGGTTTGCAGCCTGACACTCAGAGCCAACCCATGGCTGGGGGACCCCCAACCCACCATCAGGGCTGAAGTCCGACCGCATCTGAAAGTGCTGCTGCAGCTGATGAGTTCTCCATGGTGGGCACAGGAACTGTCAGCTCCAAGGCTTCCCAATTAACCATCGACATCCCAAACCAGTGTGGTCGCTGCCAGCCTGTCCTATAGGGGAGGGATGGTCCCTGGATGGGAGAGCTCTGGGGCTCTCAGGGGTCCTGTGTACCCACCCAGGGCAGCCCTCTCCGGCCACGTCCCCGACCATCACACACCCTGGGGCTGCCATTCCAGGTGCACAAGGGCAACCGAAGGGGCAGAAAGCAACCCGTCAAGCTGAAAAGCTTGAAGGCAATTTCACAGCGATGGAGGAACTGTCCTCTACGCTCCCCAAAGCTGCCAGCATTTGTTACCAGGCACACCAAGTCACCAGATGTAGGACAAGCCTTGGAGTGTTCAGGTGGCAGAGGATTTGCTATGGAGCATCTTCTCCAACCTACTCCAGAAACACGAGCTCCCCACACCTCACTGAGTGAGAAACAGGACGGATGACAGCTCTGGCTGAGCACACAGATCGCCCCACAGCTGAGAACAGGGCTGTGGCTGGATCCAGAGATCGCATGTCCCAGCTCCTGGCAGCACCAGCAGAACCCGAGGCCTCCCTCTCCCCCCGGATGGGCAGTGCTGGGGGCAGCAGGTCCAGGGCAGACAGACAGCCCCCCCACTTCATCCCCACAGCCACTGAACAAGCCCCAGCAGGAAAGCCTGGCAGCTGCGGGGCTCTCTTCCCCCCAGGTTATCTAAGAGGTTCCAGAGGCACCCGGTTGACAGGTCAAACCATTTCTCTTATTCCTAACCAGGTTCTGGAGCAGCTAACCATGAAATCAGCCTCTCCACAAGCATCCCATCGCAGAGGGAGATGCCGGGGGCTTGCCAGCTGTCATGTACAGGCTCCTGGAGGAGGAGGGTCCGGGGGCAGCCGACAGGCACAGCTCGGGCACGTGGTGCTGCAAGGTACCAACGGCGTCGGCGGGACAGGCCTGGCAAACCAGCACCATCAGCGCTGCTGCGACTGGGGCCAGCTGAGGTGCAAAGCTTGTCAGCCCGACTGTCAGGGAGCAAAACGCACACTCTGAGCCTTTCCAAGGAAACCTCTGTGCCAAGCTGCAGACAGAGCAAACAAGAAAAGTTTCTACATTACAACAGGCCAGTTCCGGTTATTAAAAATGCCTCTGGAATCCAGTGCTACCAGTGGTCCAAGTTACCAACTCCTGCTCCCTGTTTACACAGGCTGCTTTGAATAAATACACAGGAAAAAGCCGCCCAAAAACTGTAAGGAAAGTGGAAGGGGGAGGCAAAAAGCAGCAAGCAGAGAAAAAATGAATTAGGAAGCCATGCAGAAGACAAGAGCCCTTCACCCCTGCAGTCCTTCGGGATTCAGGGAAGCATGCAGCTCCGCATCCAGATGGTCACCTCTTTAGCAGTGCACTACAGCACGTGCCAAATGCTGGAAATAAAAGGAGACAGCTCAGCCATATCCATCCCTGCACGAAGTAAAAATAGAGATGCCGGGAGCTGGGCACGTCTGCCTTCTTCCACGGTGATTTAAGGAGAGCAGCCATAGGCTTCAAATTACTTTTTCTGGTGACCCAGTGAGATGCCCTCTTCGGCGGAGCTGGCATCACACCCTGGGCAAGAGGAAAGCAGAGGACACACCACCACTCCCTTGCCAGTGGCAGACTGTACTTCCAAAACCCAGTCACATGCTGAGCAAGCCGAGACTCACCAGCCACCCTGCACTTCGCAGCAGCAGGGCCAGCCCCAGTCCCAAGTGACAGCTCCAGCTTCATGTCACACACCTGCTGCAACAGGTACGGAAGAGACAGCTGTCGAGGGAAGGGGATGCCGACAGCTTGGTTAGTTTGGGTTTTCTGGGGCGGGGAGGGGAAGCAGACAAGATGGATGGCAAAGCCACACTGTGTGTCTGCAGTGGCCGCATACAGCTCAAGGGACTGGGGCACAGACTCCTAATGGGCTTGGAGGGTACCCAGGACTGAAATACCCTTTGGAAAACTTGTACATGCCTGGATCCAGATAATGGGGGAGCAGAGGGGAAGAAAGTGCTGTGGGAGATGAGTGAGTCTGCATCAGAGAAGTCATTTCATGGAAACCAGCCACAGGAAACCAGAGCCCCCTTTCCTCATCCCTCTCCATCAGAGCTGCAGCAGGCAGCTATCACCACGTTTTAATTAGATTCCCTGATGCTGCCGTCTGTACACCCAGAGCTGCAGGGACCGAGAGCATCCCATAGGCTGGGAACGAACCACCTTCCCCCAGCACTGGGAGAAGGGGGCGATGGCTCGCCCTGAGCCCTGGCAGTGGGGATCTGCCTTGACAGATGGATGGGCTGTCACAGCGGCAGCCGGAGACCACCTCAACACACAGCACCGCAGCTCCACCTTGGAGTGGAACCTCTGCGTTCAACAAAGACCACAAGTTCTGGTATACCCTGAGATCTTCTGGCCCTGGATGTCAGTGATGGGTTTGGGGTTATCCACGCTGCCAGCAGAGCAGGACTAGATGGTGCTGGGCACATGGAAAGCCTGGGAGACAGCAAGACCCACAGACAGAGCAAGTTACTCTCAACCAGGTTTAGATACTGGTTAATTCCTTGAAAAGGTCCATGAAAAGTGGGCACTGCGGAAGCTGAGGCCATAAAAAAGGGGCAGGATAAGGCCTTTGTGCTGATGGTCTTTACACAAAAACGCACCAGTACACAGACACAAAGGGCTCATGTCCTCTAAGCACAAAGGCTGGAAGCTCACAAGATATGCTACTCCCTCAACGCCCAACCCTCATGCATGAATATACTGAGACACTACTAATTAAACCAACAGCTCCTAATTAATTCTCAGCTGTCCCCATCCTTCTGGGCCCATCCTGTCAGTTCCTGAGACACAAATAGTCTTGGGCATTTCACAAGCCAGCGAGGCAACAGCAGAGCTTACACTGAACGCTGAAGGCGGCAGCGGGTTTGGCACGCGGTTAAGCATTGTCTAGGGAGTTTATCATCTTCCTTCCCAAGAGCCCAGCACAGGGGCAGGAAAGGGATTCAGCCCCTAATATGGAAGGACTTGTCTAGAAGAGTAGCTCATGCTTTCCATCTCAACTCAAATCCAAGCCTGTAGCTGGGCCCCGAGAGGTGACTTGCACAGAGCTGACACACATCGAGCACCATCTCCCACACCAGCTGCGGCCTCCAGGACACGGAGGACTCGGCTGCAGCTCCCCACGACCCAGGGGACACCCCACCTCCCGCAGCCTGCCAGCCTATCGCACAACTCACCCAAAGCAGCTCTGCACGCAGGCTGCAGACAGGCTCCCGGTGAAATACCGAGACATTGCTAGTCTGACCCATCCTCATCCTTGTGCTGCTGCCTGTGGGCAATGCTCCTGCCACGCAGAACCCCAGCTGGGGCTCAGGACTACACTGCAGCCCCCTCTGCAACAGCACGAGCTTTAGCATCATTTAGCTTCCAGGAGCAAGATCTGCTGCCCGGCCATTCCTTACTCAGGTTAGCACTTGCCCTCTGCACCCTGCAAGCAGCTGGACCAGCCAGATCACTCACAGCAGTGGAAGGGAGAGACCCTCCCTTCCCAGCCCTGAGCTTTCCGTGAGCCCATTTCCAGGACGGCAGGGCCAGCCCTGCAAGCCCAAGCTCAGCAAAACCCATCCTATGGGCCACAAGTGCCTGTTCTCCCTGGCTGTAGCACCAGCCCTGTATTTGCCTGCTGCCAGGCTCAGGCAGGACCCATCCAGGTCTCCCACAGAACCTGCAGGAAGCCCAGACCCACCTCACCCAGCCTCACAGCAGGAAGGCCAGGCCACCTCCCCCTGCCTGTAAAAACTCCGCCTGCAGCAACAACAGGGGAGTGACAGCTCTGCCACACAGGCAAAGTGACCCACAGCCATTATTTTGGCTACACACGAGTTATTTTAGCCAGAGCTCAGCCCATCGTGGGGAGGGGCACGTCCATGCAGGTAGCGTCTGCACATAGAGGATGTCCTCACTGTAGCAAAGGCCGAAGTCTCCAAAGGGAGACTGGGCAGATACGTGCCTGTAGAAAAGCGGAGTAGCAAATCTTCTCCAAGTTCTTCCCCTGGCAGGTTGATCCTCTCCTCTCTGCAAGCACTTTCTTCCATTAGGTTGAGAGCAACAGGGAAACCTACATTTTCCAGTTCCTCCCCAAAGTCAGGGGTCAATGTACATCCCAAGAGAAGAAAGCCAACTCCTGGGCTCCTGTTTAGAACAAACTCCTGTTCAAATTGAAGGCTTTTCTCCCTTGTAGAGCTGTCAGGTTTATTTATAGCATCACAGCGTTTTATCAGCACGCTGGCTGCCCTGGGAAGAAGAGGGTCATCTCGAACATCTGGAATGAAATCACCAGTTGAGCACATTTAACAAGCCTGTCTTTGCACATGTCGGGCTGCAGGTGGAAAACTCACCCGCAAACAAGGCCGCATAGGCCGCGGGAGGGGGACATCCACATGCCACCGAGTCTGTGCCTTGGATCTGCCAGTCCTGCTGCCAAAGGCAAGCGCAGCTCCTTAGCAACAGGCA